ACAAGTCCAGGTGTCCGAGCAGTTCACACCAGAAAACCCTCCAGTGTCAGAAACATGGGACTGTGGCTGACCTTCGCTTTCTTTCTAGCGGCCCTTCGAGGTAATTTTATCCCCTTCCCCGCTACATGGACAGGAGACACCAGGGGATGCTACACATTCCTACTCTGACCCAAAGCGCAGTGACGTCACTGGGAACCTTTCTGCTGCTTCCAACTGGCTCTGAGCCAGGCCAGGGGTGAATGTGATTCTCCTTCTGTCTTTCCAGGTGTCCGGTCACAGGTGCAGCTGGTGGAGTCCGGAGGGGGGATTCAAACCCCTGGGGGATCTCTCCGCCTCTCCTGCAAAGCCTCCGGATTCACCTTCAGCAGCTACTGGATGGACTGGGTCTGTCAGGCTCCCGGGAAGGGACTGGAGTGGGTCGCAGAGATACTTGAGCCTGTAAATAATTTAGCAGCATATTACAGTGATGCTGTTAAAGGGCGATTCACCATCTCCAGGGACGAGTCCAGCAGCTCGGTGTATCTGCAAATGAACAGCTTGAAAGCGGAAGACACCGCCCGGTATTACTGTGCGAGAGACACAGTGATCAGAAACCTCCTGCGGTTAGAACAAAAACCTCCAGCGCGAATCCCCCACCCCCTCCGTGCCCCCAGTCACTGCCAGAACAGAGCGGTCAGACCGAGAGGAACAGAGTGTAAAGTCTCCAGTGCTTTATCCAGGCTTCAGTCTCTGAACATTCACTGTGATTATCAAAAGAATAAATGGACACAAATCAGATGTCAAGAATTATAACATTCAAAAAACAGTTGGAGAACACTTCAACCTCCCTGGCCACTCGATTACAGACCTAAAAGTCGCAATATTACAACAACAAAAACCTTCAAAAACAGACTCCAACGAGAGACTGCTGAATCGGAATTAATTTGCAAATTGGACACCATTAAATTAGGCTTGAATAAAGACTGGGAGTGGATGGGCCATTACACAAAGTAAAACTATTTCCCCGTGCTTATCCCCCCGCCCCTCCACAGTTCCTCATATCTCCTTGTCAATTGCTGGAAATGGGCCGTTTTCATTACCACCACAAACAGTTCTTTTTCTCTCCTGCTGATAAAAGCTCACCTTAACTGATCACTCTCCTTATAGTGTGTATGGTAACACCCATTGTTTCATGTTCTCTGTGTATATATATATATATATATATAACTACTGTATTTTCCACTACATGCATCCGAAAAAGTGGGCTGAAAGCTTATGCTCAAATACATCTGTTAGTCTCTAAGGTGTCACAAGTACTTCTGTTCTTTCTATTCCTTCTGGTAACACATGAACTAGGGATCACCAAATGAAATTAATAAGCAGCAGGTTTAAAACAAACACAAAGAAGTATTTCTTTACACAGTACAGTCAACCTGTGGAACTCCTAGCCAGAGGATGTTGTGAAGTCCAAGACTATAAGAAGGTTCAAAAAAGAACTAGATAAATTCATGGAGGATAGGTCCATCAATGGCTATTAGCCAGGATGGGTAGGGATGGTGTCCCTAGCCTGTTTGCCAGAAGCTGGGAATAGGCAACAGGGGATGGATCACTCGGTGATTCCCTGTTCTGTTCATTCTCTCTGGGGCACCTGGCATTGGCCACTGTCAGAAGACAGGACACTGGGCTAGATGGACCTTTGGTCTGACCCAGTCTGGCCATTCCTATATTCTTATGTTCTTGCCATTTGGAGAAGGAACTATGCAGTATGATACCTCCAGGTGGGATTTGCAATGGGGCCTAGTGGAGTTAGGGTCCCAGATCATATTGAAACTGTTTGGAAGTTGAGCTACTAACTAATTTAGTCCCCTTTGAAAATAGTTGTCTACAGCTACAGTACCCACATAGGCTGCAAAGAGAGCATTGCTTTCACACACCTCTGGGCGTCCCACTCCAAGACAAGGTCTTCTGCATCTGCCCTGTTTTCTAGGAAATATTCCTCTCTCTAAGGCTCTGATACAAAGCCTACTAACAGGGATGGGCGTCTACTCAGTGAATACAATAAACCCTGCACTAGGCTTTATATTCGCCTCTACAGATGTCAGGTAATTCCAGGAAGTTGTTAATTTCTTTCTTACGCACAAGTATACTCCGGAGCTCCTCGCACTGTGCCAGGCGCTGCACAAACACACGGCAAGATACAGTCTGACTCTCTTTCCCTGAGCCCTATTGCGAATAATTCACATCACTCAGGGAGGGAGTTTGTGTCTCTTATAAGGGGCGGGATATGCAAATAAGGGGCCAGGTTCCTGTTTAAATCTGTCTCTATCTCTCCCCAGGCTGCACCCGGAGAGACAATCCGCAGCCCCTGGGTCTGTGAACCGCCAGTCGCCTGCAAAACGTGCCCCAACAACACCAGGGGAAATGAGTCTTTGTCTCCACTTCATGTTCTTTGTAGTGGCTCTGGAAGGTACGTTATCCCCATTAATTCACAGGAGGGGCCGGGTATCTGGTACTATTGCTGCTGCTATCGATGTGGTGTGTGACACTTCTCTCTTCTGTCGTCTCACCCCGACTGGTGTACAAAGTGCCCAATGTGGCTGGTTCTCCCACTGTTCCTTGGTTGTTTTCATTCGCTCCTTGAATCCGGCGCCAATAAATTACCGGTTTCCTCTGCTGACTGAGCTTTATTTACAATCTGCCATTTCCCCCCTTCTCCCCCAGGGGCCCGCTCGCAGGTGGTTCTGACCCAGTCGGGGCCAGCGCTGAAGAAGCCCGGAGAGTCCCATAAACTGCAATGTGCCACTAGCGGGTTCACTTTTAGCAGCACCTGGATGGGCTGGGTCAGCCAGGAGCCGGGAAAGGGGCTGGAGTGGCTGACACTGTATTACAGTGAAGGAAGCAAGTACTACGCCTCCTCCGTCCAGGGCCGATTCACAGCCTCCAAGGACAGCACCAACTTCTACCTGCAAATGACCAGCCTGAGAGCGGAGGACACCGCCGTGTATTACTGCGCCAGAGACACAGTGAGGGGAAGTGAATCTGAGCTCAGACAAAAACCTTCCCCTGCAGTAACAGTGCAACGTGTCCACTGCTGAGGGCGCTACCAGCCCCGACTGCCAGGGACAGGTGATGAGAGCAGCCCTGAGAAACTCTCCCCGGCTATAAATAGCTGCAGACTGGCATAATTTCATCATTGGTTTAATTCACTCACGCTGGAATTCCTCTGTGCATCAGACACTGTGTTGTAATGATTATTCTCTTCCCTTTTTTTCTATTGCAGACACACAGACAAAACAGTGCTGCATACAGAAAAATATGCACACACACACAAGCACATTCAATCAATCACTGCTACACAAAAACACAGAAGTACACACACCGAGGAAGCATGTAAACACACATACAACCACAATAATATATACAATCACTCAAAAGCAAATATACCGTTAAACACACATGAAAAAGCAATTGCAAAGACACAAACAAATAAACGCATCCATCTATATACACCCAGAAACACACACATACAAACAGGTACACGCATAAACACAAACACACAAACAGACACACAAATACAATTACTGTGTATGCATCAAACATAAGGCCAGTCTGGGTCAGACAAAAGCCTTCCTGACAGCAGCAACACAAAGAGTTCACCACCTGCCAGGCGCTATGAGCCATGGACTGCAAGTAACACGGTGACGGGAGCATCAGAGAGACGGGTCGGGGGGGGGAGGGCAATGTGGGGCTCTGGATTATAAATATTTGCAAGCCCATTGCAGTTCTACACGGGTTTTAATGATTCACCCTGGAATTGCTCCGTCTCAGACACTGCCATGCTAAGAGCTATTCTCACCCTTTTCCTTACTTCACACACACACACACACACACACACACACACACACACACACACACACACAAAATCAAAGAACTGGAAGGGAGGCCATAACGTCCAGTCCCCTGCACATATGGCAGGACTAAGTATTACCTAGACCATCCCTGACAGGTGTTTGTCCAACTTGCTCTTAAAAATCTCCAATGATGGAGATTCCACAACCTCCCTAGGCAATTTAGTCCAGTGTTTAACCACCCTGACAGTTAGGAAGTTTTTCCTAATGTCCAACCTAAACCGCCCTTGCTGCAACTTAAGCCCTTTGCTTCTTGTCTTATCACAGGTTAAGGAGAATATTTTTTCTCCCTCATCCTCCTAACAACCTTTTATATATTTGTAAACTGTTGTCATGTCCCCTCTCTGTCTTCTCTTTTCCAGACTAAACAAACCCAGTTCTTTCAATCTTCCCTCATAGGTCATGTTTTCTAGACCTTTCATCATTTTTGTTGCTCTTCTCTGGACTTTCTCCAATTTGTCTACATCTTTCCTGAAATGTGGCACCCAGATCTGGACACAAAATTCCAGCTGAGGCCTAATCAGTGCAATGTAGAGTGGAAGAATTACTTCTCCTGTCTTGCTTTCAACCTGGCAATAAACACAAGGAATTATCACCCTCAGCACCGAAGACTGGAATGTTCCACGTGAGGGTTTGACACCACCCCCACCCCCAAATTTCTTTCCAACCAGTGGGAATGGGTTACCCAGTGCTCCGTGGAGGGTTTGGAAATCAAACCTCACATATGTATTTCACCAGTGAAGGGTGCTAGTGTTTATACATCCACTGATTCTGTTATTTCAGATTTATATCCACCGGGTGTTACGTTTTGATAACCCAATATTGGGCATCTTAACATCTCAGTTTGTCAATTATCTTTAAGCTCACACTGAAGTCCCACTGATGTTAAAGTGGCTTTAGTGTTTCCCTGGGTTGGGGCCGAAATTTCATTAACATACTCTGGCATCCTTCATGACTGGGTCCTTCTAAACTCTGAGGTCATTTATTTGTAATGGTGGATGAAGCTGAGGTTTAGTCAAATGATTTAGCAACACCCACATGCAAATGAAGTAGGAAACTGAGTGATAAAGGCGAGCCCGCGACCCTCACTGAAGAGCTGTCAGCAGAGGACGGGTTACTGCTTTGCAGCCCACCAGGTTGTTGTGGAGAATGAAAATGATCTGTCTGGGGGTCTTTTTCTTTTTGGCAGCTTTCTCAGGTGTGTGGATGAACCTACAGGTGTCTGGTTAGGACAGCTGGGCGAGGGCAGTAAAGATGGTTTTAAACTAAGATGTAGGAGGTTAATTCAGGAATTCTGGATTCTAAATCCTATAGATCTGAACAAATCACGCCGGATGGAATTTTAAAGCCATAAAGAGGATATTGATACTGAAATTTCATTAATCTTTAATGGGAACTAGGTGTCAAATGCCTTAGGGAGCTTTGAAAAATCTCAGGCTGATTCTGTGCCTCAGTTTCCCATCTGTAAAATGGGGATAACTGTACTTCCCAGCAGTGTGGCATGGATAAATTCGTTATTACACACAAGCAGATCAGATACTGTCATGAGAAGGGCAACAGAAGGAAAAGATGGAATTAACTGTGTTTTTGTTGTTTATTTACAGGTGTCAGCTCCCAGATACAGCTGACCCAGTCTGGGGCAGAAATCAAGAAGCCTGGAGAGTCTGTGAAGCTGACACGTAAAACAGCTGGTTACACCTTTACCAGCTATTACATTCAGTGGTTACGGCAGGTGCCCGGGAAAGGACTGCAGTGGATAGGACTTATCAATCCCAACAATGGAGGCACCCACTATGCCCAGGCCTTCCAGGGGCGATTCACCATCACCAGGGACACTTCCATAAGCACGGCCTATCTACAGCTGGGCAGTCTGAGAACCGATGACACAGCCACGTATTACTGTGCTCGGGACACAGTGACACAAACCACATCTACAGCCATTCAGAAAACCCTCCAGTGAGAGAACCCAGGTGTCTTGCTAACACTGGAGCCTTTAGTCACTCCAGAGACTACTTGCCCATAAAAAGAAGAACAGGAGTACTTGTGGCACCTTAGAGACTAACAAATTTATTAGAGCATAAGCTTTCGTGGACTACAGCCCACGAAGAAGTGGGCTGTAGTCCACG